GAGAGAATAAGTTGGCATACTCAAGGGGTAAAGTCATCATTCTTTAGGGTTTAAATTATCATACTCAAGGTGTTTAATCATCATATTCAAGGTGTAAAATCATCATGCTCAAGATGTACAGTCATCATACTCAAGGGATTAAATCATCATATTCAAAGGATTAAGTTCTACTCGAGGGATTAAATCAATACACTCCCAGGGCTGTACTCTAGTGGTCAGCATCATACTTGCATCAACACAAAATCAGTAAACATAAGAACATATTTAAGTACAGTACATTATGCCTTTTATTTCAGGTATGGACTGTAGTATCCCTGAAGAGGCTGAACAAGGGTCCCTTATGCTGGTGGACGATTCTGCAGCCCAAGGAGGTAAGGTAAGTGTGTGTGTGTGTGTACACGGGAGGTCCTCCCACACTTCCTCCCATCCTCACACCCTCCTCCCATCCACACACACCCTTCCTCCCATCCACACACACCCTTCCTCCCATCCACACCCTTCCTCCCATCCACACACACCCTTCCTCCCATCCACACACCTTCCTCCCATCCACACACACCCTTCCTCCCATCCACACACACCCTTCCTCCCATCCACACACACCCTTCCTTCCATCCACACACACCCTCCCTCTCATTCACACGCCCTGAGGGTCTCTTTAAATCTTTCAGATTGTGTGGCTGCCTGAGGTGAACGGCTGGTTGGCTCAGGTGGATGGCTGGCTGGCTCTGGTGAACGCCTGTCAGGCTGACACTGGTGAACGGCTGGCTGGCTCAGGTGAATGGTTGACTGGCTGAGGTGAACGTCTGGCAGGACAAGAACCCCACCCAACAGGTAAAGTACTTGTGACAATGTGATGTCTATATGTAAGGTATTTATGAACATTGTCTAAAACTTTTTATATTCCAGGTTTGTGCGGCTGACAGTGGACCCACAAGGTGCTTCCTGGAGGTGGTAAAGGTAGAACTTATTTTTGTAATAGTAACAGCACCATAGTTAGAAGTAGACACAGTAGTAACTCCGCCTTGTTCAACTGAACATGCCGGTCCCCAGCCCGGATAAAGGAGGAGGGCTACTGCAGTGTTCCATGATCACCACTTCATAAAGTCTTTCTTTTCAAACCAATTTATAATACAAAGTACAGTAGCTTATATTTTATCAATTAGACCTTGTTTACTGTATACCTGTATTTAGGTACCAAGACAATCAATGTAGTATTTTAGCTTTTTATAGATGGTATCGAAAAATGAGATTTACATATACTCACTCCTACTTAATGGTTTCTTCATGTTTCGAGACCACGTAGTACACAGTATATTAAGTTTTGTAGACAGGAGATATTGAAAAATAAAAATTGTATTTACGGGTAGCTTATTTTCATTTGTATTACACACCACATGTTAGTTTGTGATAATACTCCAGAAGTTTGATACAGAATGATTACAAAAGAACTGGTCAAATTGCCTTATTGTTCTGTGTTATACCTCTGTCTAGGTACTTAACATAAGACTACCTGAACGTCTAGTAAACGGTTATCTATTATTAAAACCTTCATTATCTAGTATTAGTGTAGATCACAACTAGCAATGGTTGGTTACGTCACACTAGATAACATTTTTCTCTTATCTCGTGATAAACACATTACCACCATTATTTCTTCTCGGCAGATACATTGAGTATTTCCCGATTCAACGTTCACAATGGACTCTGCTTATGGTTAGTTTATTACACTAGACCTTAATGATTTTGTCTATCTTATGACAGGTTTTGGTCCTACTCAAGATTTAGTTTGATCTAATAAAGGAAGTCTTGTACTTTGTGAATAATTTTAACCAGGTACAGTACAGTACAGTACAGACCCGTATGGGGGTATTACGAAATTTATCCAATTGACCAAGTCTGATTTAGTATTCACTTGTTAATTTACTACCCTTTGGGCAGGTGTGTGGGCAGGTAGGTAGGGGTGTGGTATTTGCTAGGTTTACACCGTTCATCACCCTTCTCACAACTGTCCCAGGCTGGAGTTTGGGCCCCACGACAGTTTGGCGAGATACACACTGTACAACCAACACCCACTGTACTTCAGGTCAAAATATCAAATTATTTCATTTCAAAACGTTACAACTTTACACATGACCATTGGATTTCAAAGTCTTTAGCTTTTTGTACAACTAAGTTAATTTACATTGTGTTGCACATTATAGTAAATTTATAATTTTCAAAGATTTTTTTCTAAATTTTAGACAAAACCGACTTCCATTCAACAATTGGTGTGCAGTGTCCAGTTTGTCAACATTCCGTAAGTAAAATCCCTACTGTACTTTACTTTCATGTACTATGTATACATTGCTTTCAAAATAATAGTATGTATACAGAATCAAAAACGTATCTTTACGGACATGGCCGATGAATTTCAAAATGAACACAACTGTTGTCTCTTAGGTTGTCAAAATCCTTCGTCCGAGGTGTCATTGTCTAACACCACCATAAAGATGCATTTTTGGTGATGTACAGCTTGTTATAACTACACCGAAATGATGTATTACAATGCCATCTGTAGGTACAGTCCTGTGGTCATCCGTTTAGTTTTGATTTTGCACACCCAATAGGTCACTACATGGGCATTAGTTTGTAACCTTTCTACATAGGCTGGCACTTGGATGTCAATTAGTGATAAATATACATAGGCTATCATGTTGGCACCACAGGATCCACACTTTACACTTCACCTTCAGGTTTCAAGTTCAGTATACAAGATTATTATTCTACTTTTCCAAAATCGGAGTATAAAAGATGTCAAATTTATTCACTGTTTATTTTTATTATGAACACATATTGTATAATGAGAGCCAACATTATATTATTTCTCGATACAAGTGCCAACCATTACACAATATATCCACCTTTTTTTAATCTGTGGCTTGCTTGCTCGTTCTTAAATATTACTTTACTGTACTTTTAAAGATTTTTTCTTAATTGTATAAATAAATTTGTGCTTAAGGTGGTAGTCATGAAGGTGTGGGATGGTTGACAGTACAGAACAGTCGCTGAGGTCATCTGGCCATCTTGCTTTCACATCTGGTACATCGATCTTGTACAACAACCTGTAATAAAATTTTGAATTTAGATCATTCTTAATTAACATTAATGTATCATTACCAATACACAACAGTTACCCCAAAATGTCTTGCATTCTATACTTGCACCCTTGTACTGTATACCCAGCCTTCCTGCTCTTATGGCTGCAGCAGTCTTCTCACAGGCACCATCCACAACATTCCTTCACATTACATACCATTTTACTCGGATAAATTTGTAACATTCACTATTAACCATTGTATGAGCACATCACCGCCGCCCGTGCACAGGCCTCCAGTGCCCAACGTACGAGCGGGCCCTTCACTGCCCAACGTACGAGCGCCCCTCCACTGCCCAACGTTCCTTCTTCCCAACCCTTCTCAAAAACAAGTCACTCGTTTTCATTCTTACATTCAGTGGTTTTTAGGTTAACCATACAAGACATAGTTAACTTAACTGGGGAGGCTGAATTAACATGTGTTACATCTTGCTCAAGGTTGGTTCTGTCACTTCCTCTATGTTGGCCTTCAAGTACATCATCTGTCACCTGCAATATATTTAGAGTTATTTATGTCGAATAAAGGTTAGACATACAATATCCTTCTACCACTAGACCACCTGTACTTAAACCGACTCCAACTGTACACAAGTCATCAAATTTTAATAATTTACAGTCAATTTTATCTAACTTTAAAAGTAACTTTCTGTATTGATCAGTAAACTTAAGTGGTTCATAAAATAGCTTGAATTAATGTTCTTTAAACATATTAGATACAAAATAGGGTTTTGTGTAACAGACACCTTATTACTGATTTGGTTCAGTCTAAGTTAGTTATGTTTAATCTAAGTTAGGATAGTTAAGTTAGTTGAAACCCACCCACAACAACTTGCTTTACTTGCTACATTTACTACTACTACTTTTCACTAATAACCAATAGGCATGTAGTCCTGAATATTTATAGTCACTACAACTAATATTAATTTTACTAGAAGATCAGTCGCTACAGTCAGTCCACACAGTCCTCCAGAGCCCCTCAACAAACACCCCTCCAGAGCCCTACACACACACTCCACCAGAGCTCTACAACGCACACGCTCCTCCAGAGCCCTCCAACACCACACACACACAGGCCTCCAGAGCCCTCCATCACACACAGTCCAGGCCCTCCATCACACACAGGCCCCCAGAGCCCCCCATCACACACAGATCCTCCAGAGCCCCTCCATCACACACAGGCCCCCAAGGCCCCCATCACACACAATCCTCCAGAGCCCCCCATCACACACACAGTCCTCCAGAGCCCTCCACATCCACACACACAGTCCTCCAGAGCCCTCCATCACACAGTCCTCCAGAGCCCTCCATCACACACAGTCTCCTAGAGCCCTCCATCACACACAGTCCTCCAGAGCCCTCCATCACACACACAGTCCTCCAGAGCCCTCCATCACACACAGTCCTCCAGAGCCCTCCAACACCCACAGTCCTCCAGAGCCTCCATCACCCACAGTCCTCCAGAGCCCTCCATCACCCACAGTCCTCCAGAGCCCTCCATCCCCAGACCTCCAGGGCCCTCCATCACCCACAGTCCTCCAGAGCCCTCCATCACCCCAGTCCTCCAGAGCCTCCATCACCCACAGTCCTCAGAGCCCTCAGAGCCCTCCATCACCCACAGTCCTCCAGAGCCCTCCATCACCCACAGTCCTCCAGAGCCCTCCATCACCCACAGTCCTCCAGAGTCCTCCATCACCCACAGTCCTCCAGAGCCCTCCATCACCCACAGTCCTCCAGAGTCCTCCATCACACACAGTCCTCCAGAGCCCTCCATCACACACAATCCTCCAGAACCCTCCATCACACAGTGTCGAGTGGTTTATCGGATGACCATACTAGCTAAGATATAGAAGTAACTTAACTGATGAGGCTGAAGTAACGTGCTGCTTGTTAAGTCTTGCTCAAGGTTCTGTCACTTCTCCATTGGCCTTCACGTACATCAGCCGTCACCTGCAACATGTTTAAAGTAGCTATTTATGTAGAATGAATGTTAAACATACAATATCCATCTACCACTAAACCACATGTACTTGAACTGTCGTCAACTGCACACAAGTTATTACTTTTTAAAAATTTACACGTCACAATTTTATGTAACTTCAAAATTAACTTTCAGAATTCATGATCAGTTAACATGAGTGGCTAGATAAATACATTAATTTTTGTTCTTCAATAAATTTTTATTCAATATATATTTACTGTTTAATGGGTAACTTAATACTGATTTGGATCAGTGTAGGTTAGTTGCACTTAATCAGTTAGGCTGGTTAAGTTAGGTTAGTTGAAACCCACCCACAACAACTTGCTTTACCAGTTACATTCACAACTACACTTCTACTAATTTTCTTAAACCAATAGGCATGTAGTCCTGTATATTTATACGTAATGTCACTACAACTAATATTAATTTTACTAGAAGATCAGTCTCTACAGTCAGTCCACACAGTCCTCCAGAACCCTCAAACACAGTCCTCCACACACACACACACCTCCACTGCCCAGTGTAAGAATACAGTGTTGAGTGGTTTATGGGACGATACTAGCTAAGATACACATGTACAGTACTTAAGCTGTCCCTAACTGTACACAAGTTATATTTTTATAATTTACACGTCTCAATTTTATCTAAATTCAAAATAAACTTTTTCAGTTCATGATCAGTTAACTTAAGTGGATAATACAACAGTTTAAATTGATGTTCTTAAAATATTTTTTACCCAATATATTTACTGTATAATAGATACCTTGTTACTGATTTGGTCAAGTCTAGGTTAGTTATGTTTAATCTAAGTTAGGCTGGTTAAGTTAGGTTAGTAAAGTTATGTTAGTTGAAACCCACCTACAACAACTTGCTTTACTTGCTATATTTACTCCTATACTACTACTAATTTTCTCTGATAACCAATAGGCATGTAGTCCTGTATATATATACTGTCACTACAACTAATATTAATTTTACTCTAATATCAATGTCTACAGTCAGTCCACCACAGCCCTCCAATGCACTCCGTCAGCCCACCCACACACACCCTCCATTGCCCAGTGTAGGAGCACAGTGTTTAGTGGTTTATGGGATGACCATAATTTCTAAGATATACAAGTAACTTAACTGATGAGGCTGAAGTAACATGCTGCTTGTTAAATCTTGCTCAAAGTTCAGTCAGTTCTCCATTGGCTTTTTCGTACATCAGCTGTCACCTGCAACACGTTTAAGTTTCTATTTATGTAGAATGAATGTTAAGCATACAATATATACTTCTACCATTAGACCACATGGACCTAAACTGTCCCCAACATTTTACATAAATCATTACCTCCACATCGGTTTACTCAAATTACGTCTCACCAATACAGTACTGCTACACTATACTGTACTACACATCTCTACACTGTTTCATGCACTATACTGTACACACGGTTTACTACAGCTCACTTATTAGACCTTCCTTCCTTCTCTCCCTCCCTTATGCCCCCTTAAGTGTCCCCCTCGACAGCTAGATTACACTTGGTTTTAATGACAAACTTCACCACAACCACCTGCCCACCTCGTGTACAATTCCTTCTTATGTGAACGCACAACCCTATCCCAGACACCACCAGAGTCCTCCCCCCAACCAGGATACAACATCCCACATCCTCACAAAACGTTAAATGACCCCACAATAAGCCAATCCCACCCACAAAACATTAAACGACACCACAAGAAGCCACACCCCCTCACAAAGTTAAACGACCACCAACAAGCCACACCCACCCACACCCTTACAAAACATTAAATAACACCATAGTAGGCCACACCCACCCACACCTTCACACACAACATTAAAATTTACCCCAAGGAATATTGTTGTGTAGTATGAGAAGCGTCACTCGTGGTCTGTTGTCCCCACATACTGCACCACACTTCACTTATGACCTCATACTGCACCCCACAGACTGTACCACGCCAATATCAGAGCTTTGTACTGTAGTTGGATCTGTAGCCATTCCTTGATCTGAAAAGAAAAAGATTCACCAGCACATTGTAATACGTAGATTGACTAAGGTTTAGTTGATCTTCAGCTGAAATAAGCTGGGGATGAATCTTCAGGTGAGCCAAACATTAACATTTTCCAGATGTTAATTAGATGGCGAGCCTTATTTACCAATACATTTAAACTGTCTTTATATACATCTTAACATTTAGTTTATGAACCCGGGGTTTTTTTTTTTTACAAGTAGACAATCAGCGAACCTCTAGGTTAAGTTAGGTTACGTTACGTGATTAGGTTACGTTACGTTAGTTTTGGTTGTTGAGCAATGTTTTTTTCCGATGGTAAAATCCATGGTTGTCCACTTTTAAAATTACCAGGAACCCTTAACGTTACTTTATTTAATATACGATATAATGTATTCTGGAACACCTCGACCTTCTGTAACGTCTCGCCCTCCGCCGGCTCTCGCTTGGCTCCCTACCTCACCTCACCCGGCTGGCTGGCTGGCTCCCTACCTCACTTCACCCGGCTGGCTCGCTGGCTGGCTGGCTCCCTACCTCACCTCACCTCACCCGGCTGGCTCGCTCGCTCGCTCGCTCCGTACCTCGGCTGGCTGGCTGGCTCGCTCCCTACCTACCTCCCTCACCTCGCCCAGCTCCCTACCTCACCTCACCCTCGCCCAGCTCCCTACCTCACCTCACCTCGCCCAGCTCCTACCTCACCTCGCCTCGCCCGGCTCCCTACCTCCCTCACCTCGCCTCGCCCGGCTCCCTGCCTCGCCCGGCTAAAACCCGTAATAAATTCTGTTTCAACTCCCAGAAATGGTAGTTAAAGAGTAAACAAAGAACTAGCCAGTAAAAAAAGATAACTTAATTCCGTCAAAAATCGTTATATTTTTGTTAAACCTGATCATTGCGGCGCAGTTTTTAATGCTGAATTCAGTGGTGGTGATGGACGTTTGGGGAAATGCGTCATTATTGAGTTATGACCACCCGGCTCCGCCAAAAGTGGGTTGGGCTTCGAAGCAAGAGGGAAAAAGGTGAAATTAAAAAATAAATAATACAGTAACCTAACCAAATCTGGTTATTGTACTCACTTACTGGTTAATTATTACGTAAATACTGATGTACGGTTTACGCTCGTTACCCGCCACCAATTTATAGTTTAGGCTCGTTTGTCATGGCTCATTTAGCGGTATATTTGTCTAAAACATTAAGAAATTACTGGTTTGACGTTAGAGAAACACTTAATATAATACTAAACCATATTAATATATTTGTTTAAGCTGCAAAGTAGGTACCATAGGCCTTACAGCCCAGTGAATCTTGGGGATACGACCCTTGGAGGCAAGTGAACTGCAACAACCGGCTGGCAAGTTTTTTTACTTAAATCAGCATTTATTACGCCATAATTCAGTATATTAAACACTACCCAAAAGAATAACCATATCTCTTGGCCATTTTGACTGTAGACAGTCGGGGAAAAACATTACACGTATATAATGGAGACTAGAGGTGTGGGGCAGCTCGAGCTTACCTGCCTGTCAGCTGCAGCCAGTGAGTGGTGATGGTCGGTGAAGAATGGGGCGAAAACGAGTTAGTCGAGACTTTATATATGAAGGTTGAGAGTGACGTCACGAAGCTTCATTGAATCATTTTGATGCTTCATTGAAGCATTCGAAGCTTCGAACATGAATATACGTTAATAATACCTACAAATGTCAAATTTATGACCCAATTTCACTTTTGATTAACTTTTAGGGTATAATACAGCGAAAATATTGCACCACAACATAAAAAACTAAAAACAGAAAAATAAAAAGAAGAGAGAAATGCCAGGACTCGAACTCGGGCCTCAATGAGTGGCAGGTAAAACGCTTATCCACTGGACTTTCCCGGAAAGTAGATATTTCCCGTTTTCTCTTTGTATTACAGGTCCAAGGAATAGATCCCACCAAAATCATCACCTCATTACTATGGGGTATATTGAAATACATGCAGTAGTTATAATTACAGAATATATTAACAAACAAACAATAAAACAAATATCAGTATGTACAAAAAATAAACAAATACAAATTAAATCTGATCAAATAAATGACTCAATGAACAACGTGGTCTATCATCCACATGTTTCTGCTAGTGTGTATATATATATATATATATATATATATATATATATATATATATATATATATATATATATATATATATAAACTTATGTTTTAGCGAATATCGGAGCTACAGTAGTGTGTGGTCTATAGAGCTGGTGCTACTGTAGTATGTGGTCTAGAGCTGGTGCCATTGTAGTATGTGGTTCAACAGAGCTGGTGCTACTGTATAAGTGGTCTACAGAGCTGGTGCTACTGTAGTATGTGGTCTAACAGAGCTGGTGCTACTGTAATAAGTGGCTCAAAGAGCTGGTGCTACTGTAGTGTGTGGTCTACAGAGCTGGTGCTACTATAGTATGTGGTCTAACAGAGCTGGTGCTACTGTAATAAGTGGTCTACAGAACTGGTGCTACTGTAGTATGTGGTCTACAGAGCTGGTGCTACTGTAGTATGGGGTCTACAGAGCTGGTGCTACTGTAGTATGTGGTCTACAGAGCTGGTGCTACTGTAGTATGTGGTCTAGAGAGCTGGTGCTACTGTCGTATGTGGTCTACAGAGCTGGTGCTACTGTAGTATGTGGTCTACAGAGCTGGTGCTACTGTAATAAGTGGTCTACAGAACTGGTACTACTGTAGTATGTAGTCTACAGAGCTGGTGCTACTGTAGTATGTGGTCTACAGAGCTGGTGCTACTGTAGTATGTGGTCTACAGAGCTGGTGCTACTGTAGTATGTGGTCTAGAGAGCTGGTGCTACTGTAGTATGTGGTCTACAGAGCTGGTGCTACTGTAGTATGTGGTCTACAGAGCTGGTGCTACTATAGTATGTGGTCTACAGAGCTGGTGCTACTATACTATGTGGTCTACAGAGCTGGTGCTACTGTAATATGTGGTCTACAGAGCTGGTGCTACTGTAGTATGTGGTCTACAGAGTTGGTGCTACTGTAGTATGTGGTCTACAGAGCTGGGGCTACTATAGTATGTGGTCTACAGAGCTGGTGCTACTGTAGTATGTGATCTAGAGCTGGTGCTACTATATAGTATGTGGTCTACAGAGCTGGTGCTATGTGCGGTCTTGGGTATGAGAGTTTGTTGACCAAACTGGAGTGGTCCATTGAAGAATTGGCGAGGGCCAAGTTAGAAATTGAGAGGGCCACGTTGGAGAACCTGAAGTTAAGGAAAGAGCTGGCGAAGTTAAAAGGAGAGACTGGACGAGTAAAGCCAGTGTCTGACGAAAACTCAAGCGAGTGGAAAGTTGTGAGTAGTGGGAAAACAAAGCTGGTGGTGAAGAAGCACACGAAGGATACGACAACAACGACAACAACAGCTAAGTGTACCAACCCGTTCAGTCCCTTGATAAACGAATTGGACGTTAGTACAGTCAGGGACAGGGATGACAAGGAAGGTATAAAAACTTTAATTGTTGGTGACTCACAGGTAAGGTACATGGACAGGGCCTTTTGTGGTAAAAACAAAAATAGGATGAGGGTGTGTTTGCCAGGGGCTGGGGTGGGGGATATAATTGACAGGATGGACAATATCTTGTCTGGTAATGGGAACAAACCCATTATCTGCCTCAGTGCAGGAGGCAATGATATTGGCCGGTGTAGGAGCGAGGAACTTCTTGATAAGTTCAAGGCAGCCATAGATCGTATTAGGACTAAGGGAGGGATCCCTATCATATGCTGTGTCCTGCCTAGAAGGGGAGTTGGCAGTGAATGGTTGTCAAGGGCAGTTGGTGTCAACGACCGTCTTGACAGATATTGCAAGTCAATATCAGTCCCATTCATTGACAACTGGGACAACTTCTATGGCAGAAGGGACCTTTATGCTAGGGATGGGGTGCACCTGTCTAGGGATGGAGTAGCAACCCTGGCTGGGGCTCTAGAGGGGGCAGTTCAAAAGATATCGAAGTCTTTAAACTGCTAAGAGAACATATGGGCACGGGGGTGGAGGAGACTGCAGTGGGAGCGGGTAAACAAGGCGAAAGATTACAGGGAAATAGTGTTAGGAATGATGACAAAACTAAATTAGACAGGGAGTTTAAAACTAAACGCGGTAAGGGGAGGACTCAGAACACGACTAACTTAAATGTATACTACGCGAACAGTAGAAGTATGAGAAACAAAATGGATGATATTAGGGCCTTGGTATGTACCGAAGAAATCGATATAATTGCATTCACTGAAACATGGATCAACCTAGACACACGTGAATTACCAGTCGAATACCAAATTGCGGGTTACAAACTGTTCCATACCGATAGGCAGACCAGGAAAGGAGGCGGAGTAGCAATCTATGTTAGGGATAATCTGAAGTGTGAAATAAATAAGGAAATAAAAACTGAGAGGAATACAGAAACAATTTGGATAGAATTAGGCGACGGTCGGGAAAAATTAATCACAGGAGTAATATATAGACCCCCCAATCTTGATAGCGTCAATGAGCGACTTATCTGGGATGAAATGCGCAGGGCTTCCATACACAACAAAGTCTGTATAGTAGGCGACTTTAACCTTGGCCAAATAGATTGGACTGACCTTACGGGTAACTCAGAATCACAGGATTTTCTCGAGACGATCCAGGACTGTTTCCTAAGTCAACATATAACCGAACCCACACGGGGTAATAATATACTGGATTTAGTTCTGTCGAACAGAGAAAACCTCATTAGCAATGGCGAGGGAGGGAACGAACTTGCAAACAGCGATCACAAAGAAATTCGATTCCAGTTAGATTTTCAGGGCAGACGTAAGGAAAATTCCACTAAAGTACCAGATTTCAGGAGGGGAAACATTGGCAGTTTAAAGAGGCAGCTGAGAGAGGGGGTGTCGCGCTTGGCCGTGAGCCTGACAGATGACACCGACCTGATAACGAGATCTGAGATTGCCGAGTTCCACGACAATTTAAATAGTGAGTTACGTAATCCACAAAGGCAGAACATACCATACAAAAAACTCAGATCAGACAACAATGACCCTAAATGGATAAATAATTATTTAAAGAACATCATTGGCCAAAGGAAGGCTATAGGTAGAAGGATAAATCGTGGCGAAATTCCCCTCCGGGACTATTATAGGGTATTGGCGAGTAGGGTTAAAACCGAGATAAGGAAAGCAAAGAGGAATAATGAGGTAAGGATAGCTAGGGAGGCGAAGACAAACCCCAAAGGATTCTACCAAATGTATCAAACTAAAACACGAGAAAAGATTGGACCAATACAGTCAGACTCCGGTGAGCTCACTGATAACGACGGAGAAATGAGCAATAATTTGAATAAATATTTTTCAACAGTTTTCACCACCGAAAATTTAAACATGATACCCGAGGCACCGACTCTCTTCAGAGACAGTGAAGAAAACAAATTAAGTGAGATAGTAGTGACTAGTAACGATGTTAGTAAGCAAATAAACAAACTAAAGCCTAATAAGTCACCTGGTCCCGATGAGATATTTGCCAGAGTATTAAAGGAATGTAAGGAAGAGCTTAGTATGCCCTTAGCAAAGTTGTTTAACATGTCCTTAAAAACAGGTGTAGTACCAGAATCCTGGAGGATAGCGAATGTAATACCGATTTTCAAGAAGGGGGATAGATCACTATCCTCTAACTACCGCCCAATCAGTCTGACATCAATAGTAGGCAAATTACTGACAGCAATCATTTCAAACTCTATTCGAAATCACCTGGAGAAGCACCGATTGATCAATGATTCCCAGCATGGCTTCACAAGCGGACGTTCTTGCCTAACTAATCTATTAATATTCTTTTCATCAGTTTTCGATTTGGTGGACGAGGGGCACAATTATGATGTGGTATATTTCGACTTTAGCAAAGCCTTCGACAGAGTCCCCCACGAAAGACTAATTAGAAAGGTAGAAGCTCATGGCATCAAAGGTGACACCCTTAAATGGATTAGGGCGTGGTTACAGGACAGGAAACAGCGAGTGAGCATTAACGGCACTAAGTCCCATTGGAGCAACGTCACATAAACGACATAGATATAGGCATAGACAGCAACATAAGTAAATTTGCTGATGACACTAAAATAGGACGTGTTATCAAATCTGACGAGGACTCGGCAAAACTACAGGAAGATCTAAACAAATTTTTCGAATGGTCTGAAAAATGGCAGATGAAATTCAACGTCGACAAATGTAAAGTACTCAGTATAGGAGATGTAAACAGGGAAACCAGATACCAGATGAACAACGATGCCATAGAGAAATCCGACTGCGAGAGAGATTTAGGAGTAATGATAAGTAGGAACCTTAAGCCAAGTAAACAATGTGTTTTTGCTCGTAACAAGGCTAATAAAGTACTTGGGTTCATACAAAGGAGTGTTAGTTACAAGACTAGCGAGGTCATCCTAAAACTGTATCTTGCTCTTGTGAGACCACACCTGGATTACGCAGTTCAGTTCTGGTCACCGTATTACAGAATGGATATAGAATCCTTGGAAAGAATTCAGAGGAGAATGACAAAAAATCCCGGGCATTAGGAACCTTGAGTATAGAGACAGGTTAAAGCATCATAATTTGCACTCCCTCGAGAGACGTAGAGCGAGGGGCGACCTGATAGAGGTGTATAAGTGGAAGGCAGGGCTAAACAAAGGGGACATTACAAAGGTACTCAAATTATCCAACCAGGCGAACTCGTAACAATGGTTTTAAATTAGACAAATTTAGATTTAGGCGTGAAATAGGTAAACACTGGTTTGGAAACAGAGTAGTGGATGAATGGAACAAGTTACCAAATATCATCATTAACTCGAATACGCTGAATTGCTTCAAACATAGGTTGGATGCTTATATGAGCAATAGGGGTTGGGTGTAAACGGGAGTGCCCAGTATGGGCCAATAGGCCCGCTGCAGTTTCCTCCATTCTTATGTTCTTATGTACTGTAGTATGTGGTCTACAGAGCTGGTGCTACTATAGTATGTGGTCTAACAGAGCTGGTGCTACTGTAGTATGTGGTCTACAGAGCTGGAGCTACTATAGTATGTGGTCTAACAGAGCTGGTGCTACTGTAGTATGTGGTCTAACAGAGCTGGTGCTACTGTAGTGTGTGGTCTACAGAGCTGGGGCTACTATAGTTTGTGGTCTACCGAGCTGGAATTGTTTCTACCAGGATATTTACACTGTAGCATCCATGAACCTAACTTAACCTAGGTTACGTTATGTTAATGGGTGCTTTAGTGTAAATATCCCGGTAGACACAACCCCAACTCGGTAGACCACATACTATAGAAGCTCCAGCTCTGTAGATTGCATACTATAGAAGCTCCAGCTCTGTAGACCACATACTATAGTAGCTCCAGCTCGGTAGACTGCATACTATAGAAGCTCCAGCTCTGTAGATTGCATACTATAGAAGCTCCAGCTCGGTAGACCACATACTATAGTAGCTCCAGCTCGGTAGACTGCATACTATAGAAGCTCCAGCTCTGTAGATTGCATACTATAGAAGCTCCAGCTCTGTAGACCACATATTATAGAAGCTCCAGCTCTGTAGATTGCATACTATAGAAGCTCCAGCTCTGTAGACTGCATACTATAGAAGCTCCAGCTCTGTAGATTGCATACTATAGAAGCTCCAGCTCTGTAGATTGCATACTATAGAAGCTCCAGCTCTGTAGACCACATACTATAGAAGCTCCAGCTCTGTAGACTGCATACTATAGAAGCTCCCAAATAACAATATCAGGATCTATTTAAAAAATAATTCAATCATCTTTTGGTGTTGTCTGGTGGTGGTGATGATGGTGATGATGTAGCCCCCTGCCATCTGGTGGTGATGCCTGAATCATCTGGTGTTGGTGATGGTAATGTAGCCTCAGTCACCTGGTGTTGGTGGTGGTAATGTAACCTCAGTCATCTGGTGTTGGTGATGGTGTTGTTGGTGGTAAAGTAGCCTCAGTCATCTGGTGTTGTTGGTGGTGCTGTAGCCTCCTGCCATCTGGTGGTGGTGTAGCCTCAGTCTTCTGGTGTTGGTGGTGGAAATGTAACCTCAGTCATCTGGTGTTGGTGATGGTGTTGTTGGTGGTAAAGTAGCCTCAGTCATCTGGTGGTGGTGGTGCCTCAGACATTTGGTGGTGGTAAATATAGCCTCCTGTCACCTGATGGTGGTGGTAGTAATGTAGCCTTCTGTTATCTGGTGGTGGTGATTTAACCTCCTGTCAACTGGTGGAGGTGGTGGTGATATAGCCTCCTGTCATCTGATGGTGGTGGTGATGTAGCCTCCTGTCATCTGGTGGTGGTGGTGATGTAGCCATCTGGTTATCTGATGGTGGTTGTGATGTATCTGTGTCTGATGGTGGTGTGATGTAGCCTCCCTGTCATCTGGTGGAGGTGGTGGTGATATAGCCTCCTGTCATCTGGTGGAGGTGGTGGTGATATAGCCTCCTGTCAACTGGTGATATAGCCTCCTGGTGGAGGTGGTGGTGATGATATGCCTCCTGTCAACTGGTGGTGGTGGTGGTGATATAGCCTCCTGTCATCTGGTGGTGGTGGTGGTGATATAGCCTCCTGTCATCTGGTGGAGGTGGTGGTGATACCTCCTGTCAACTGGTGGTGGTGGTGGTGATATAGCCTCCTGTCAACTGGTCAACTGGTGGTGGTGGTGGTGATATAGCCTCCTGTCATCTGGTGGTGGTGGTGGTGATATAGCCTCCCTCCTGTCAACTGGCGGTGGTGGTGGTGATATAGCGGTGGTGGTGGTGATATAGCCTCCCTGTCATCTGGTGGTGGTGGTGGTGGTGATATAGCCTCCTGTCATCTGGTGGAGGTGTTGGTGATATAGCCTCCTGTCAACTGGCAGTGGTGGTGGTGATATAGCCTCCTGTCCAACTGGCAGCCTCCTGTCAGCTGGCGGTGGTGGTGGTGATATAGCCTCCTGTCAACTGGCGGTGGTGGTGGTGATATAGCCTCCTGTCAACTGGTGGTGGTGGTGGTGATATAGCCTCCTGTCAACTGGCGGTGGTGGTGGTGATATAGCCTCCTGTCATCTGGTGGTGGTGGTATAGCCTGTCATCTGGTGGGGTGGTGGTGATATAGCCTCCTGTCATCTGGTGGTGGTGGTGGTGATATAGCCTCCTGTCATCGGTGGTGGTGGTGATATAGCCTGCCACCTGTCATCTGGTGGTGGTGGTGGTGATATAGTCATCTAGTCCTGTCATCTGGTGGTGGTGGTGATATAGCCTCCTGTCATCTGGTGGTGGTGGTGCCTCCTGTCATCTGGGTGATATAGCCTCCTGTCATCAGCCTCCGTCTGGTGGTGGTGGTGGTGATATAGCCTGTCATGTGCAGCCTCCTGTCAGTGGTGGTGGTGGTGATATAGCCTCCTGTCATCTGGTGGTGGTGGTGGTGATATAGCCTCCTGTCATCTGGTGTGGTGGTGGGTGGTGATAGCCTCCTGTCATCTGGTGGTGGTGGTGGTGATAGCCTCCTGTCATCTGGTGGTGGTGGTGGTGATATAGCCTCCTGTCATCTGTGGTGGTGGTGGTGATATAGCCTCCTGTCATCTGTGGTGGTGGTGGTGGTGATATAGCCTCCTGTGGTGGTGGTGGTGTGATATAGCCTCCTGTCATCTGGTGGTGGTGGTGATATAGCCCTGCCATCTGATGGTGGTGGTGTGTTATCTGATGGTGGTTGTGATGTAGCCTCCTGTCATCTGGTGGTGATGTAGCTATCTGTCATCTGGTGGTGGTGGTGATGTAGCCTTCTGTTATCTGGTGGTGGTAGTGATGTAGTCTCCAGGCATCTGGTGTTGGTGGTGATGTAGCCTTCTGTCATCTGGTGTTGGTGGTGATGTAGCCTCAGTCATCTGGTGTTGGTGGTGATGTAGCCTCAGTCATCTGGTGGTGGTGTTGGTGGTGATGTAGCCTCAGTCATCTGGTGTTGGTGGTGATGTAGCCTCAGTCATCTGGTGGTGGTGGTGGTGGTGATGTAGCCTCTGTCATCAGTCTGTCCCTTGTTCTTCACTTCTGTAAGGTTAGATGATATAAATAGTTACATAGATTTAATGATAAATAGATAGATTCACAGACTTACTAATTGGCAAAGCCATCAGATACTTATTTACAGTAGGGTCCTTTGCTTAGGCTAGGTCTGTAATCAGTAATAGTATGTCTACAGGAGAAGTAGTGAAAGTTTTCTGATAAATTTAACAAGCATTACATTGCACTTGGACTAACTGAGGTTGGCAGATCACTTCAACAATATAATATTTTGTGGTTAATACAGAAACAGCTTCATCTGTTATGTATTTTTAACTTTTAGCTATGAATTGTTTTACACTATTACTGGTTTTGATGTAGCTTGGTAACTTGTTTCAGTCTTTTATAGCTGTAAAGAGGAAAGTGTTTTTGCTTGACTACAAACATCAGGTACAGTACAGTACTGTATACCACAAAATTATGCTCCGTCCCTCTAGTGCCCTGCCGGTACATATCAATATCTCAATCAGCTATGCTGATGATATTCTTATACATACTAAAACTCATCGTGAAATGCAAACCACCCTGAACCATGTATACGCAGCCTGTGAGAACCTCGGTCTTATTATCTCCACTGAGAAAACTAAGGTGTTCAACAAACAAGCTAGTAACCGCAAACGCGGCCCCGCCAAGTTCAAGATAGGTAACAACACTATTGACTATGTTTCTTTTTTTAAATATCTTGGTGTCTCCGTCCCTTGTACCCTACCTGCCATACAACAGCTAACCCGCCAATGTACTGACAGACTGAGACCTCTTAGAAGTGTAGCGGGGTACAGCCCGCACTATGGTGCTAATATTAGAATTGTTAAAACAATGTACCTAGGCTATATAAGATATCTGATAGATTACCACGCACCAGCCCTGGTCCTTCGTGACGGGAAAGGCGTTGACAAGCTCGAGAAAATGCAAAATAAAGCCCTCAGAATTATCCTAGGATGTCCCATTGTTACCAAAGAATAATATGAGTGAAAAGAACTAGGTATACCCAGTAAGCAAAAGATAGAATAATTGAAGTCAACTCATGATAGCCCTGGAGGCTTTGCGTGTGGTGATCCTGATAACATTGTTTTTGGGTAATTGCTAGAATGTATGAACCATGGGACTGGTGAGTCTAAATGGATCCAAACTACAGCTACGCATATGAAGATGTTTGGACTAGACCGCCTGTACAAAGTTAAGACACAACAGCGCTTCCTGCCACCCTGGCGGACAGTTCCCTTCGATATCACAATACCGACAAATCCGCCTAAAAAATAATTATACAAAGCATTTATCTCCAACACACTGCCAAATTGAGAGCTCTTGAACACATACACAATCTACAGACTGATGATACATCACGGTTAATTGATGGATCTCTTAACACCGCCTGTGGGAGGGCTGGAAGTGCTATTGTTGTGACTCAACCTGACGGTAATATAATTGAGAAAGGAGTTAGAATTAATAAATGGGCATCCACTCTACAAACTGAATTAGTTGCCATACGCACAGCTATTAAATTCATTGAAACCACTGTTACTGACAGTCTCATCATCACTCACTCTCTATCCTCACTACTTGCCCTTGGCACCCTCGACTCAGGTTGTCACGCTCTTGTCTCTGAAGCCAGACACAAATATGTGTGCCTTGTTGACCGGGGTGTCAGGGTCAAACTGTTGTGGATCCCCTCTCACATAGGCCTCAAAACAAGCAGAGGAGTTGATGCCTCGCCAAACTCGTTGCTGCGTCTAACAAAGACACTGTTGAATGCTACCCCTAACAAGCCAAAAAGAACCTTAAAACTATATTGTACAACTTACGATGAAGTGATGCAGATCAGTAAACGGGTTCAGTCAGATCCATAGTTTAGCCATATATGTATCATGAAACATGTATAAGTGGAAGGAATAAGATCAACATTATGTAAGATGTTGTAAAATCCCCTAGATTAAGGTTAGATATAAGTACTTGGCAGTATGTTCCTCAAGCAGATGTAAACAAGATTAATAGAAAAGTGTGTGGCCAGACATATAGCCACACACTTGAACACTACGTCCTTGACTGTGTGAAGATAGAACCTTTTAGGGACAGGTCCAAGCACACTGTGTGTGAAATGGCACAACACTTCATCTCTAATGGCAAGATAGCCGACATATTAAGATTGTATCCACTTTTTTGCACTTAGTAACTATATCAATTCTCATGTACAGAACCAAATACACAATGTGCTTGAATACTTCTCACGTAAATGTGAATAACAAAGTGTGAGGCCAGACATACTGCCTCACACGCCTGCACTCACGCATTTGTGAATAAGTTACCCATTATGTATAGAACTAAACAAATAATGTAATTGAAAGAATGTGTAACATTCAGTGCCATAATATCCTGACAACGGGGGTTAATTATTATGACCCGTTGTAAACTCTACTCTGTAATCCCTTTGCACTACCGCTCACAGGATGAATGTGGGGTGCACAATAAAGTAGCCGCTGTAAGCGGCAAAATCAATCGGTTCATATCCCTAATCCTTACAAAATTTGGTGTTAAATAGTCTGGCCACAGTCTGTTGAATATCCTATAAGAGTGATTCAGACTCAGTTGCTTCACTCTATCTGTCACACTTAACATTTTCAGTGATTGTAAGACTCTGAGACCAATGTGATCTCTTGCATTCATGTCAAGAGTAAATCTCGCTGCCTTGTATTAAATAATTTTTAACTTGGCTTTTAGCTTCTGTGTTAAGGCAGAGTGTAATGATGATCAGGAATGGTCAAAGAGACTTTGTATGAGTGCCAAGCAAAGGCTGCTATGGGCATCAGCTGAGACATATGGCATTTATATAAACAAATTGTTTATCCTAACATTAGTTTTACTTATTATATTATCTACAATTTATTCTCCAGGTGAAGAAAGTCAAGAGTTAGTCCAAGGTATTTCACTGAGTTTACAGTTGAGATGGGTTCATTCCCACATTGTAGTAAAACTCCCCAAAGTCGGAGTCGGTCTGAATTACCGGTGCACATGCCGAGTTGTAATTGGCCGCGTGGCTCAACACCAGTCTCTCACCAACTGCCAGATAATGTGATGGCATCCAGCTAGTGCTGGATTTAGGTACAAGGTAAGTAAGCTACAGCTTAGAGCCTCACATTATGAGGGCCCTCTAAATATGTTTGAGATACAGTTAGTAAAAACATTTGTTATGAATCAATTGCCCTGGCTTAAATAACCTATTTCATTTGCAGGTCAGAAAATTCAGTCTAATAATGTTTATAATTTTAAAGAATCATTTGGAAACCTTATTAATAAGTTTTTCAATTCACCCATTCACTGACTCATGCTGACTGTGTGGCAGTTGATTGCTGCCTAGATGCAGTAAATTTTGTTGTAGTTGTGTAACAAGAATATACTTTCTTCTCAGCCTCTACAAAACCCTGGGCAGTACTCAAATTATTCTTGAATCCTGACTCTACAGTACCAAAACATCTTCTGACACTAAACCAGGTGGGAAGCACATGCCCGCAATAGGTGGCCAGGGAGCCGGATACTTATCCCTTAGCTCAGCACTAAGAGACGTGACTTCCCATGGAAACACCGTATCACGTGCTCTGAACACGAACCTCATAGCTGGTGGAAAGTTATATGGGGTGATAGTTTCAGCAACCAGTCTTGGCAAAATTTCTGCCTGGGCGCCATTTCAACCTGTAAATGTATGCAATCTTCAAAAACAAAAATCGCAGCTAGTTACTCTGATTGAGCATCATGAAATTAAATTTCCATAAGAGTTTTGGTAAAGAGGGGGAACTTTAATGGGATTCTCGCCTTACGGAAATAATCAATATGATATTTTCCCGATAGAGCTGACTTTATCATAGCCTACTTATGCAGTGAACGAAAGAGATAAATAAATTACAGGGTAGTTAATATTTAAAATTGAAACAAAATAAATAGTTTACTCACCAAAACAATGTTACTGGAGTGAGAGAAAGTCCGAAGAAGGATGTAGTACAGTACTGTACACAGCAAAAATGCATGACTGCATCACCAAATCTCCTGTAAGGAAAAAGTTCGTTTTAAAGTATTTTATACTGAATATTTGCTTTTACTGTGGAGGTAGTTCCATTGCAGGATGTAACATTATCACAATCACACTAAACCTGAAATAGTTATCCCTCCATAACAAGCAGTACATTTTCTAAGAAAAGAAGAAAATATGTAGCAGACGAATTTCTTTAAAACGGTAGCCCTGGTCCGACGCAGGGTGAGGCTGGGCCACGTCACTGTTTGTGAATGTAACGCCATCAACCGCGCATGCGCAGTTATCGTTTCGGCTACTTCTGGACGCTACACCGGGCTTGGCCAACACTGGAGCAGGTTCAGATACATTCAGGAACCAGTGCATGTCCAGTACTTACCAACAGTGCGTGACAGAGACGCGACCGTCCGCCCTAGTGGCGAAGAGGATAAAAGTAAAAAGTAAAAGTTAATAAAATTCAAGGTGAGAAAATTGGTAGAGTTACCCATAAAAGGTTCTCTCGAAGGATCATTTTCTATCATTACCAAAGAATATGGACTTTAAGGTTACCTCGTATATCCTTTTGTTACATTCTCGGGCCAACTGTTTTCTTCATTATTCATTTCGTCACTGGTCGGCTCTCTGTCCAGTTGGGTGGTTGGTCACGTCTGTTACACTGTTAGTATGAACTGGGCATGTACTGGCTCCAGAATGTATCTGTACCTGCGCAAGCATTGGTCAAGGTTAAACCTGGTCTTGAATGAGTTCACACTCGGTGCCGTTGTAGCTTCTCAGAAGCCCCTTGTATATATATAGTAATGCGCAGAAGTCTAGAATATTTTGTCAACACCTGTTAGCACTAGAAACAAATAATGGAATTGAACCAAATTTTGTGGAGATACGACATACGAAAATGGAAGCGAGAATGCACACAACCTGACCTGACCTACCTTAGAGGGGAGGGGTGTGGTCGCCAACCCTCAGATAATTACAATGATGACACTTTGGCATATTTGAGTGAATAGATTTTTTAAGTGATGAGTTAATGACATCTGAGGGTCATAAAGTAGGCACACTCATGTAGAATTTAACTCTACAGTCCATATTATTATTGAACATGTTGAGTACTGTAGCTACTCCCTACTGTATACTGTAACGAGATGTACAAGTTTACGAAATACTGTAGTGGTCGTGTGGCTATTAAGTGTTAACTTTTGTGAACAACTAAAACCAATATATACGATTCCAAATAAACAATGTATAATACACAAAACAACTCCCCCCCAATATATATATATATATATATATATATATATATATATATATATATATATATATATATATATATATTCAGAAATTTCAGAGTAATTTCAAATGCCCCGCCATGAGTGATACTGAGCGTTCAAGGTCATCTGAGGGGAGGGAGCGCTGCCTGCTCGTAGCGAGAGACTGCGGAACTAGGCCTATATGATATTGAATGTGATTTACCGAATTAATAATGATGCGATTCATGAAGTTAAGGGACTATTATTGAATTTGAAATTATTATAGATCGTTTAGCAGTCTGAATAATGTTACGGGTGTCCCAAGGAGTTATTAGTTAGGCGGTAAATATATCACGTAGGCCCAAGCTAGCGCCTGGGGGAGACGAGACGCTGGCTAGGGCAGTCCCGGAGAGCATTCACACAGACAAGACGTTCCGCGCGTCCATCAGAAATAGTCACGTGGCCTAGTCACCTGTGCTGCGCTATTGCAGTATAACAAGTAAGTCTCATTCGATCTCAGACAGGGTTAGATAGGGCAGTGATAAAGTAAACTAGAGCTAACAGTGAGTTCATTTCAGGGTTTCCGTCAGAACCCACTTGATTGGAGTTGACCGGAGTTGACTGCGAGAGATTGACTGCCGTTGATGATTGAGGGTGGCGATTGTCGCCATTGGACCGATCAGTGTAGGCCTGTCACTGTTTAGCGGGGTAGCAAAGGATCTCTTGAGTGAACGAGTGCTCCCGACAACTAAAACGACACGGGACCAGCATCGGCAGTGGGTGATCAGTTCTTACCACTCCGGTGCACAACACCACGTGTCCTCGGTCAGCTAGTGAAACCCTCTTGCTAACGGGAAGCTAAAGTTTCTCTCAACTGCACAAGGTCTGATTGGCTCACTCTCTTCCTGCCCATGGACGCACTGGGAGTACACTGAGGCTATCTGAGTATATTAATGGTCACACACTGAGACCGTGAGTCTAGGACTCTAGGAGATACCTAGAGGAACATTTTATCTTCCTTATCACGGGTGTAGTTAACACCATTCCTCAGACTGATATTATCTTGACGTGTGTAGTTTAATATTTCTTAAATAATTTTGATAGTAGTGTTTTTTTGAATGTTTGTGCCATTAAGTGGAACCAGAGTGATACTGTGATTTGATTCTTTTAATGCCTCTAATTCTTCATAATTCTGATCTCAGGTATAACCTTGTTCCCCAGAGCAGTGGTTAGGTTAGGTTAGGAAGTGTACACCTGTTGGGGTGCTATAATTTTGTTGAGTGATATTATTTTGCTGAAAGCCTTAAGGCCTGTTCATGATGTGCAATTAACATTTCTTGATACTTTAAATTTATTGTTGCCTGTGTTTCTAATAATTTCTATGTCATGTATAACTTTTATTCCCCAGAGTAGTGGTTAAAGTTTAAGTTAAGAGGTGCGCATATTGGTGTACCATTATTTGATTGTGTTTGTAGTGTTGGAGGGAATATAAGTGTCTAAATTTTACAGTGTGTCTCATTCATCCCAGTCACAGACGCTATCCTTCCACGGGTCACGGACAGTTCATTTTGTGTAGTAGATTTAAGTGTTCTTGTGCTGGTTCGGGATTTTTCTCAAAGGGGCGCTTCCACTGCCTTTACCATCTATTAAATTTTAATAAACCCCAAGTCAAGTGAGAAATTAAAGTCCAGCAAATTCCGACCGGTTACATATATATATATATATATATATATATATGGCAGGCGCAAGTAAATCACTGTAGGTGCGCGTGATCTGTATATGTTGATAATCATTGCGAAAGAAGAAACACGAAGTTTCAAGCGCTTTCAGGTAATTCACATTTGTGTGAGTACCAGATTACCCCCGAAGATGTGAATTACACGAAAGCGCTTGGGAACTTCGTGTTTTCTTCTTTCCTTGTGGTTATCAGCATATATATATATATATATATATCTTGATAAAATCGCACGGGAAAAGGGAAACAACGGAGCACCTTAGCTTCGTCTTTATTCAAGACATTTCAGAGGCAACTTTCTGGATTACATGGACAGACAGAGGCTTAATATACAGGCGACCTTAAAACATGAGGTCAGGTCATAATGATGTCATCCACTAATCCCCACACCAACGCACACGTAGAGGAGCTTTTAAGAGAAGGGGTGAC